CAGCACCGAAAAACTGTTTACATCATACTAATAACCATGGGTTTACGAGCGACAGGCTCACTAGCTCGTGAATCTTCATAAGTGTAAACATCTCAATCAGCGTTGCCAGAATGTTTTAAAGGTTATCGGTATCAAAGGTTTTAAAAAATCGGTATATATCGGTATTTACTATTTTAATTATTTTATATTTTTGGCGGTTTTGAAAGCGAAAATTTAAACTTTTGGACTATGATCGGAAAATTCCGGGAGAAAACTCTGGGGTATGTTTGAATTAGTTTCTGGAGGAAGCTGAAAACAAGAGCCAGAGAAAAAAGCTCTCCTGGAGGAAATTTTAGGAAGGTTCTGAGAGAAGTCGGAAAACATCCACGGAACTTCCAAGACATAAATTGAGAAACTTCTGGCGAAAATTCAAACTAACCTTCGGAAAAAAAAAATCGGATTTCACATTCAAAGGAAAGCAAAAAAGTTTCGAAAATCGGAAATAAATTCCAGAAGTAGCCATTTCCAGGGGAAGCCAGAGGAAGCTCGGAAAAACCTTCCAATAGAAGTAAAAAAAACCAACTGGACAAAATTCCAGAACTAGACGAAAAAAAATTCTGGGAGAAGTTAAATTGAGCTTCCTGGAGAAGACGGAAGAAACTTCCTGGAGACACTGGCAGAAACTTCCTAAAGTAGATTGGGAAAAAATCAGGAGGAAGTCGGAAGCCAGAGCGCAAACGGAACAGTCGAAAGAAACAAGGACATAATTCCGGAAGAAAGAGCTCTTGGGGGATGTTCTAAATATCCGAAAAAAATTCCAAATGGTCATAAAAGATCCCTGAAGACCCTGCAATGCCCCTGAAGTTTGTACTTGTACTTAGCAATATTCCATATTTCTTTGGACTGTTTTGGAGTACTCTGATAATCTTTGAAATACTTGGAACTTCCCCTTATTATAATGAGACTACCGGAATATCTCTTATCAACTTTGAAGGTTTCTAGACTTTCTTGAAGAATACGAAATTTCTTAAGCATTCTTACAATTTTCTGGAATTTATTGTATCATCAGCATTGAAGTTGTCTGATCTTCCCGATTTTTCCTATTTTTGAAAGTTATCGACAGTGACGTTTCTTACATTTGCATAAGGGATGGTCCATTAATTATGTCACGCAAATTTGGCCCATTTTCAACCCCTTGGTCACAGTTTTCAAAACCCCCCTCCCCCTAAATATGTGACATAATTAATGGACGACCCCTAAGCCCCTCGGAACAATGCTGAAGTTTTCGGCAATTGCCTGAGTTTCTCGGAAGTCCTTTAAAATTTCAGCGATTTCCTTGAAATTTATTGATCTGTTCTGATTGTCTTGATGTTCTTGGAGCTTCCTAAAGTTCTCTCAATTCTCCTGAAACTAATGGAACTGTCCTGAAAACCATTAAATTTTCCCGAAGTTCTTTGGACTTGTTCACTGGAGTTCGCTGGACCGAGTTTTAGAATTTTAACAGAAGTTACATTCTTTAATTTTTCGAAACTTACTCAAAAGTCTGGACTTTTCTGAAGTTTCAGAACTTTTTAAAAGTTCCTGCAGCTAGTGTGGATCCGCAATCAAAATCATCCTTGAAGAAGCATCCTTGAAGTTCTGTGAAGAATCATTCAAGCGAAGACTGAAGAAGCTTCCAAGGGATGTCGAAATAAGTTTCCGAGAGGAATCTTAAATAGAAAATTCCAGGGGAAAGTTGGAAGAAAATCCAGGAAGTTAAATAATGTTTAAAAAGTATTTCCTGATTCCCCCGGAATTACCAGAAAGAACCGTCGACTATTTATCGATTCATGGGTAGCCAAAAACGGTGGGGAAACATTAATCGAGGGAGTATACGTAAGACATTTTTGAAGATGATCTTTTTTAGAATTTTAAAGACTCAAAAAAATTTAGATATTCAAAAAGATACAACCCTCACACAAAAACATTGATTTTGATTAATTAAAAAAATCGGTATAAATCGGTATAACACCTCAAAAATCGGTATTCTGAGGAACTTTATCTGTATATCGGTATATAGTTCGGAAATCGGTATAAATACCGTTAAATCGGTATGTCTGGCAACGCTGATCTCAATAGCCCCTAGATAGCTGCGGGCAAACGGCTTCCATACTAACACTAAACAATGACAACAACCAATCACAATCAAGCTTGTATTTTGTAGTACATTTTACTTTCCTTTTTGCGCTGCACAGTAACAGGCAATCAGAAATGGCTGATGTAACATTCCAATGTATGACAGCAGAGTCCGCACCAAAAACTTTTTCAGTTTTGCTTGAATCCTGGAGAAATAAACAACCATTGAACAAGTGAATAAATCTAGGTTTCCAAGTATAATTGAATAGAAGAAACGACTTCCAGATTGACTGTTCCACCTGATTGGTTTTTGGATTCGTGAGCTTGCTGTTCATGTCGCCAGAGTTCTGCTCTGAGATGGTGTTGCTAGTCTTCGAAGAGATAATTTTGTTCGGAGTTCTTTTCACCAGTAGAACTAGTTCCCACTTCGTTCGGGGAGCAGCAATACGTTCCATCGCTTGTCGTTGGCTGTGGGCCAACAAGGCATAGTTTGCGTTCATCGTTGGCAGTGGCCAACAATCAGTCATCGTCGTTCCGTCGCTTTCGTTGGCAGTGAGCCTACAAGAAATTTCATGTTTGTTCGCGTCTGTTGACTGTGCCCAACCGAAGATCTGGTCAACATTATCTTCAGGATTATCTTGGAACACTCTTGCATGTTCTTCTGGAATTCGTCTCAGAATTCTTTTGAAAGTCTTCGCAGAATTACACAGGAATTTCTTTTCAACTATCTTTAGAACTCACTTAAAATACTCCTGAATTTCTTTGCAACTCTCCTAAAAATTTGTTCCCTCTCCATTATTTATTTAGAGCTATCTTCAGAGTTCGATTCTCTTAAATTTCTGCATAGCTTTCCTTTAGTGTATCATAATTCATAATGTACTTTCAAGAATTTGTGAAAAATTATTTTCAGAAGACCATTGACTTCCTCTTAAAAGTTACCTGGAATGTTAATGATAATGTAAAACCAATTTTTAGAATTTCGAGGTGTTCAAGATATGAATATGAAGAGATTTTCGAGTTTTTTTTCCCTTGATTTGTTTTCCATCGATCTTGTTTTACGTGCTGAGCACCAATCAAACCGACGCCAGGGAGGCAGCTCTCACACCTGGACCCTATTTATCGACCCAATAATTCATGAACCGGGGAACAACGGCTTTACTTCCCTTCCCAAGGAAGGCGTGATCAGAGATGTTATGTCTCAGAACATGCACGTGGCGCCGACTTGAACTGAACTCAGGCCTGTTGGGGTGAGAGGTAATCACGCTTGCCATTATACCACTGGCGCCACAGTTTTCGAGTGTTTTGATTTATTTGCTTTTAATTCCGTTATAATTGCTTATCTTTTGACGAGAGATAATCTATTATAACGGAATTAAAGGGAAATAAATCTATTATAACGGAATTAAAGTGCTTCATAATTCCGTTAAGAGGTTCGAAAGAAGTAAAAAATCGGTATCTCTAAAAAAAATCAAAAACCCTAAAATCACCATAATCATAATCTGAAAATTCAATCTCTGTCTTTCCACATTTCAATCTAATAAACCATTCAGTTCGGTTGTTTCGGTAGGTGGCATTGGGGAAATTTGGGGCAGCTGCTCAAAATAAAAAAAAAATCAGATTTAGAAAACATTAGAAATCACGAAGTTGATAAAATTTTCTGAATTTAGAGATTTCTTATATTTGTTACAGTCTAATGGTAAGCTCCAACCGGTATAATCCTCGTATTAAATCCCGATCAAGTAAGTCCAGCTGCTTTGATGCCGATATCAGAGTTTATTAACTCGAATCTACGCAATCATTTTGCATATCATTCGAACAGGGACGGTTTTTGAAGGTAATCCGAGTTGGAGCTTACTGCCATTAGGGTTTACCAAAACATCAAATTTCGAAAGTTTTCCAACATATTTGAAAGTTTAGAACATTGATTTGGTGTTTAAATATACTTTAACGATTTGAGTTAACTCCTTATTTTAACTTCAGTTATTTTTTTTTTCAAATTTATTAGTTTAATTTATTTTTTATTGTCAATCGCCAGATTCGAATGTTGTGTGACAAAAGGAAAATTATGCCTTTGTTCCGACCTAATATATTAATCAGTATCTTCGTCTACCCTAGCAAAGTAAAGTCACGCACATCTTGAACCGTTCTTCTTCATCCCCTCGAACGGTACTCGCACGCCTATCTACCTCCGTTCGCACACACTGTTGCGCCCGTCAAACGGAGCACATATGTTTCACTCTCCCACACTGGTACAAACAGCGATCAACAACAAGAACAACGGTATAGAACCAGTTGCAAGTGCATCATAGATGCACCTTGTTCTTCCCCACACCCGTACGTTCGGCTCAATCCGCACGCAGAGTGTAGCTCGGAAAGGTGGATGAAGAGTATGGTGCTTGTTGATACCTTACCACGCAACGAGAGAGAATCCCCTAGGAGAGGAGAGCTTGTCGTCATATCCGTCAGATCTCACTGCACATGAAGAGAGAAAACGTGTCCAAGAGTGTGAGAGCGAAAGAGAAAAAGCGAGAGTGTGGTTGGTTTTTCGCATTAGCAGCGCCCGGTGGGTGGTGTTTTGGTTGGGGGTGGCTGGGTACGAGTGAGGTGGTGCAGCATAAAACAAGGGTAAGGTCTCTCAGCAACCAGCTGATCGCGTCGTGAGTGGCGCAAACACTACCCGCTCAGCGTCACTCTTCCTCGATGTGGTGAATATGTAGGTTTGCGGTTTGCTTGTGCCACTATTATATCGTGCGGGAAGGATTCTCGAGTGAGGTGAATTTATGTGCTCTGCTTGCTGGGAGCGTGCGAGAGAGTGTGTAGTGTGTGTTTGGGCGAGAACCGACAGACTCTCTTTGGCTCTGAGTGCTCGTGGTACCTACCAACAAATGCTTTCGAGCTCAGTATGGTTTCGTCAACAACCAACAGTTCAGTCACAAAGCAACAGTAAACAAGTTCGGACGGAAAAATAGGATTTTAGTTTTGAGAATCAGAAACATTAAGACAGTCCTCTCTTCTAGACTCTGTGTATAAGTAGAACACTTCACAGGAGGTGTAGGTCCAATGGAAGAGGAAACATAATTTGTTCGAGGTGTGAAACAGACAAAACATGAAATTTTGACGATTATCGAAGAAGCAAGGAAGTGGAAAGGATATTTTTGAAAGCGGTGACAATGTGTGACTTAGTAAAGTGTTTTCATCCACAATTGGTGCAACCTCGGTCTCCAGCCAACACTTAGCCGCTGGACTGAAAAATCGCGTCCAACTTCCGGAAGTTGTTGATCGCAGATCCTGGTGAAACATTGAGTTTCGGAAAGTTTGATCTTACGAGTGCTAGTGAGTGAAAATGGTTTGAAATTTTTCCAAACTCGTGAAATTCGATTTATTTTATCGAAAGGATTTCGTCCTTACAGAGTGGACGAATTTGAACAAATGTGGAAATCTCGCCAATCCCAATCACAACAACTATTGGCTAAGTGAATGAAAAACTAAATTTTCCTTGGTCTCAGCTGAGCATGGCAAACAAGTAGAGCAAAAAATACGTAGCGCCTAACGAGAAACTCCACGCAGATAGTGTAAACAGATACGCACATTTTTTTTCGATAGAAGACTTTTGCGATTTTTGCTCCAAGTGATGTTGGTACAATAAAGAAAGTGTCGGTTCATTAGGAATTCTGAATCTGGAACATGATTGTTAATTGGCATCGGTGGAAATTGTTATAGGTGTTTTGAAGTTCCTAGCGAGCTTTCGAGGAAGAAGTAAGAAAATTTGCAATAAATCGGAAGAGCTAAGTGAAATGCAACGACCTTAAAGTTTACACAAGTGAGGCACGGGATGACAGGCAAAAGCTGTCAGTGAGCGAAGGAAGCGCGTAAATTAAAACGAATGATAAGAAATTAAATCATTTTTGTGCTGAATAAACAACTTTAGTTTTTGCCATCAAAGAGCGAAACAAAAAATTGCTGCCCACCCCAAGAAGAAGCAATCAAAGAAGAAAAAAAAAACACAAAAAACCGCCCGCATAAAAGGTGGAGAATTAAATCGTGTAATAACAAGGTGGCCGGCAGAGAAGTATATAATCTAATGTCATTGGACTTGTAAATCAAATTATTTACGTTTGTATTTACGAATCTGGTGCTGACCGTATTCTCGCCTCTCGAAATAAAAGAAGAAGAATACAGAAATACACACAACCGAGAATATAGCGAAAAAGTGAATGCAACGCAAGTGATTGTGTTTATGAGAAGTGCAGCTGCAGGCAAGCGAGCGAGTGTGTTGATAAGTGTCTAAAAAAAGATTTTTTTGCTCTCGCCTATCCTCCCTCTCACAACTTACCGTGCACATTAAGAGCAGAGCGCAACCCAAAAAAAAAAGGTGCAAATGCAGGGGGAAGGAAGATTCGTGCTGAAAAATTTGAAATATTCCCAAAACACGTAAATTCCGCTGACGCGTTCGTGAGACAAACGACCGACGACCCCAGTCGCGCGGTTGATGTCAAAAAGAAAAATTATCCCAGCAAGTGAGTGAGTGAACAAGTGGAAAACGGAAGCAATTTTCGAAACAAGTGAAAAAGTCGCGAAGAATTGCACCAAATATGGTCCCGCAGCATAATCACGACCTGCAGCTGATAGTGGCCCAAAGCGAGATGATGGATAGCGGTACGATTCAGATTCCGATTGCCAGCAACAACAACAATTCCGGGGTACCAGCGTTGGCCTCGCTGCTGGTGGACACGGCAGGACTTGAGCAATCGATAGTGAACGGTCAAACGGTGACGATGGTTCAGCAACAGCAGCAGCAGCAGCACCAGATGATCCCACCGGTGATGTTTGGGTCCCAAATGGTGGACAAGAACTCCAGCACACCCTACACCGATGCAACACAGGTGAGTGACCTGATGCTAGGGGAGAAAAAAAAAATGCAATTCGAGAGCAATGATGAACCGTACTGACTGTGTGTACTCAAGTGTTGTTTGCGATAAGGCTTATCGTCCCGCTGGAATGGGAATTCGAGGAGGAAAGGAACCAGCCGAGGTTGGGGGTGGGGTTGGGTTGGTTCGACAATTATCTCTCTCCGTTGTTGTTTTCTGCTCCTTTTCGGGATGGCTATAAAGTGAAATGTGCGCTGTGACATCAATATGTGACAAATTTTATTGGCACTGGTAATAAAATGTAAATAATGATGAGTTGATGAACCTGACACGACGACGACGACGACGACGACGGGTCGAACGGTGCGATGTGGAGGAACTGGAACATTCGATTTTAGAATTTTGCACCGGAAAATGATGGCTCGCTGGAATTGCGTATTAGGATGACCTACATTCGGTGGTAATCCGAATGGTCGAAATCGCGAGTCACGTTATGAGCATGGGGGAAGCTTATCAAAGTTTGCCGGAAATTCATGATTTTCTACGCAGTGAATTATGAAAATCCGAAGGATAGATTTAAGAACTTTTAAAATTTCCGTTCTATTCGTTTGAATAATAAGTTCAGGGGGAACATGATAATGTTTGATATGGAACGTCTTCAATACCAACAGCCTACTTTTTCACGATGTTGGTTTCTAGTAAGACTGAGGTTGGAATTTGGAAGGTGATTTCAGTGAAATAATGATGGTTGTTTTTTTTTTTGAAATGGTGACTGCAAATTAGAATTGTGATTCAAAAGTGGATTTAAGAAGTTATTCATCATGGCCAAGAAGCATCGATTTACATTTTTGGAACATGTTGATCGTCTGTTTCAATTGGGTTCTGTGTTGATTGATTTGTGAAAAAAATTCTTAAATTAAAAAAACTGTTTGGTGGAGATTTAGAGTACTACATTGATATTTCACCACTTTATTAAAAATAAGATTTGAACAATTAAGTTATTTTCTCTTCTTGATATTTTGAAATAAATTTGAGTGAATCTGTTTTTACTAACTACACACTAAGAAATAACTACTTTTAAACGAGACGTAATCCATATTGGACGTAAATAATGAAACGTAAACAAACAGTTCATGTAAAATTAAGTGATCTCAAACCAAAGCATAAGCAACTAGACGAAGAGAACGTTTGATTGAATTGATTTTCTCGATTTTTTTCAACTGATTCTTGTGTTAAAAAGGCCGCTTACATGTGTCGGTCTCAGGGAACTGAAATTTACATGAATTTTTCGTAGTGTGTAGATTCCCATTAAATTTGGAAATTTTTCAACAATTTTATGTATGCTTGCGATTGTTAAAAAATCCAGATAAATTAGTCGCTGCGGGTTCTGTGCAAGCAATATATTGATTGTCAGATTTTCGAACATTTTTGGTAGTAGACCACACACTTAGAAAAATTGATGTAAATTAAGGTGCTCTGAGACTGGCATATACGAGTGTCCATTTTGACATAACATTGAGTCTTAATAGACGCGAAATTCAGCCCAATCAAACGTACTTTCGAACTTTTCAGTCTCGGAGCACTTAATTTTACATGAAATGTTTGTTTACGTCGCATCCTTTATGTCAAAGATGGATTCCGTCACGTGTAATATTAGGTATTTCTAAGTGTGCATGCATAAATTTATTTATTTTTTCATCTTTGACATACAAGATGAAACGTAAACAAACATGTCAAGTAATATTTTGTGCTCCAAAAGTTCGTTGCTCGACGAAAAGTACGTTTGGTTAAGCTACTTCCACGTCTGTTTTGACTCAAATTTATTTCAAAATTGACGCTCGTAGATGTCACTCTCAGAGCACCTAAATTTACATGATTTTTTCTTTGTGTGCATGTCATTTCTACACTCAGCCGGAAAATGTAGCAGTCACTTACGTTTTATATAAAAAAAAACTAATCTGTAAGGAAGCATGCCATGAACAGAATATTCTGGTCGGTGGAGTTGGTGAAAAATATTACGACTTTAACTCTGACTCCGATTCCCCGAATAAGACTCAGAATCCTCAAAAATATGTCGACCATTTTTGACTCTGACTCCAAAACATAGAGTTCGTTAGTGCTTAGTTCCGGAAATAGACTTTTCTATCAATTTGGCACAACGTATCACTATGGGATGCAATGTGCGTGGACTTTTCCTGTTTGGAATAAGCGAAGAAGAGTTAAGCATGACTGAAATTTGATCGTCTACAGCAGAATTCAAGCAGTTTCACTCACTGAGCACACCATAGTTCCTAGGGAAAAATATCGAGCTCCTCATCGAAGACAATTGTACACAGATCCTGGGACGAAGTGGAACATTCAACTTTTGACATTGACTATCAATTTTTTTTCGATTTCCAGACTTCAAAGCATTTGTATGATTGTGAAGCCTGAAATAATTTTTTTTTGTTTATTAATTTATTTGATAAGGCTCAACCGAATTAACTTTACAGAGCCGAGGATTCTTGATCACTATACAATACATCTTAAAACTATAGTCAAAAGGTACAACACAATAAACACTTTATCTTCCGCTATTCAAAAAGCCTCCTCCATCAGAACTGGAGCCGCTTCCAGTAGTTTCATTGTATGGCAAATTGTTGTACGCCAACGAGGGTCAGAGTGCGTCCATAGCAGCAATGGATGCAAAACGTGGTCAGCACTCACACACTCATCACGAAACGGTTGCTTTCCAAAGTCGACGACGCATCGACCGAAAGAACTGCTGATGAAGAACAATGAGGAGGACCACACAATGGTTGCTGCCGAGAAAACAGACGATCGCGTAGCACACATCGAGAGTGGCCTGCTTTTGTCGACAGCCGAGTGAACACTGGAGCCTGAAATAATGTGAATAATTTTTATTAAAAAAACGCGTTAATTCGGTCTTTAGAAACAAATTAAAAATACTAGGTTAAAAAATCGAATCTTCGAGTATGACAAATTTTGAGAGGATTTTAGACTTTCACTATGTTCAACCCTTTATCTGTACCTCTAAAATAAGCCAAGTTCATTCAAAAAATCCATCAAAACGAAAAAAAAAATAACGGATAACTTTAAATATGTCTCAACTAAGAGGCAGGCATATCAAGAAGAATTTACCATACAAAAATGTCAGACAAAAAATCGATATGATGAATAATCAAGATTGAAAAAATGCCTGGAGTTAAATTGAACCCAAGATACAGTCAAAGGATTAAGGTTTAGTAATCACCAACGAAATAAAAAAAAACTGGTTTTAGACGAATTATTAAGACTATGGATACGAAAAAAAAAACATCAAAATTCCAGGCATAGAGAAAAACGGAAACGTTCTACCTTAAAGCGATGTCCAAAGTCGTGCACTCAAACAAATTTTGAAGATCCCCCCTTGGATTTTTGTTTTGATTCTGAGCTTACAAAAATTGGAAAAATCTACGACGTTTTTTTTACGAGTTTTCAGAAATCGATGAATTTCCGGGTTCCTTGGATGTCAAGGAGGATAATTAATTTGAGAAATTTTAAAGACCTCAAAAATGCATTTACTTTCAACATTACGAGCTAAGGAGTTTTAGCATTCATGCATTATTCTACATTTGAATAACAATTGCTCAATCAATGATTTTTTTTATAGAACCGAGACTTGGAAAAGCAATTGAAATTTAAAGGCCCCGAATTTTATATTTTATATTTATGGGCATCTATATTTTAAAGAAATTTTTCGCTCGTTGATATTTTTATGAAAAATATTACAAGGTCCATAATTTAAATGTATTTCTTTTCTTTTTTTATTAAAGTCCATTTAACAATCTTGGGTCATTCGTGACTTGTCCGGGGTGAGATTTGAACTTGTGACTTTGGCGTGAGAAGTATGGATGTTAACCACTGCGCCGGGGTCGTCCCCAAATTTTTTTTTAAAGGTATCACTTACCGGACATGAAGATATTGGGGTATGAACATGCGTTTTATTTTTCATAGTTCAATGTAGCAGCTTACATATTATGCTTTTTTGGTAGACCAGTCTTCCTTCTTACCATAGGTTATTACTAGAACTTTGTACACGGCCCATCAACTCTTGCACTAGTCCTGTTCCCACTTGTTTGGCTGCCAAATTCTGTTTCTGCTTGAAATCCTTGAGTTCAATTGCAGGTCCACCCTTTTTTCTTCAGTATGTGCTTCACAATTGACCAGTATTCCTAAATTTACCTTAGTTTTGGAGTATAGGCTGGATAGATCTCCATGGGAATCACTGTGACGCCATTTTCCCTGTACCACTGTTTGATGGAATTTTAGTAGTGGCAGCTTGCCAAGTCCAGCCAGAATAGGCAATTCACTTCATGCTGCTCCAGAAAAAGCAGTAAATTTGGTAGTTCATGGTCCCAGAAGTAACGAAGGTTTCGCTTTTCAGCTCACAACTCCAGGGTGGCTTGCCAGACAAGGAACTTTTTGTGGCATCGTCCTCCGTGTTAGATTATCAAAAGATCTAAAGGCTCAATCGTGTTAGCTTTACCTATAAATAAAAAAGCCTGCAACAAATCTTCTATTCCATTGAAGGTCCCTGGGGTGTAATGCACTTCTGGGGCAAAACGACCGTTTACTGTTTTAAATTTTCACTTTTGTATAGATCAGTTTTGCAGCATTACAATTTCAGCATTGCATCTAGAAATGCAACCTGATAAGCTCACTAGAACATTTTTGGGAAGTCATTTCAAACGTCAATCATTTGCCTTATTTATTTTAATTTGTGTTTTTTTTTTACATTTATTTATATTGACAAAAATTTCAATGCAATCGTAATTTTTCAAATAGACGTATCTGCTTTTGTAAACAATCACTTCAATCGACGTTTTGTCTTCACTGCTAACAAACACCATCATTAGGTAAGGGAATCTTTCCCCTACTAGCTGGTGTTGTTAGGTTTTGATTCTTTACAAAATTAGATACGTCGATTTGAATAGTTACGCTTGACATTTTCTGAATTGCATAACAGCTTTTCA